CCCTTCTTTTCCATTCTCCTCTCGGGATCTCGGGCATGCACACACATGCAACTGGCATGAGTTCAAGCCATCGGGTCTGAGACTTGAACCACAGTTGACTACATGGAAGTCCAGCGACATAGCCATTATACTAACTGTTGGTCCCTTATTCTCTACTTCCCAGCCTCTAGAGTTTCAGATGGGGACCAGTAGGGTGGGGAGCTGCCGAAATGGTCTGCTCTAACTGGTTTGTTCATTTGCTCAGTGTCAACCAAAGGCTGAGTTCTCTTGGAATACAGAGAGGGTTCTGGTTTCATCACAGAATCTGCTGGATGCACCTAGTAATCTCTCTGGGTGGGAGGGTAGGTGGAGTATCCAAAGCCATATGTGCAGTTTCCAGCTTGACTTTTATGAGCAGGAGACAAATCCCCTTCCCAGGTCCATGTGCAAGGAGTAGACTTGGTCAAGTTCTGTCTCTGTTGACCATCTATTTCCCACCTGTGTGTAGAAAATTGGAGTACATGGCTGAAGCTCTTCCCATCGGCATCTCTTTGGATTCCAGGAAATATACTTGACTATTTCAATTCTGCATACTTTTACCCTTTAATCTTAGAAGAAATACATGTTCATCATAACAAATAGAAAAATTTCCAAAAATTAAAACCGATCTAAATTCTTTGTGACTCCTATAACTGTTTGATCCCATGTGTTATTTTATAGTTTTCTTCTATATTCTGTATTTGTAATCTGACTTTTTGCTTAACAATATACCTTGAACATCTTCCAGTGTTGGCTTTTTAAATGAGCATTGGCCATTTAGGAAGACTAGAGATGAAGGGAAGATGATCAGATACATGCAGTTTGATTTAATTAAGTTACTTGGATTATAGTTTGACTGTTTGATCCTGGGATATAAGGGGCAATAAGACACATTTCCCTTCTTCAAGGGGTTAACGGAGATGAAAAACACAAGATTATGTGGCCTAGCACCAAGGGATCATCAATCTACTGCAGTTGGGAAGTACTTTTTATTGGAAGGAACTGGAAGGGGTGGTATTTGTCCAGTGCAGTAGTTTTTCCTGTTAACATTTTTTTTTTTTTTTAACTTTGTAGCCATTTGTATCTTTTGTTGTGGGAGATACCAGGCAGAAGAAACTGCCTCTGTCTTGGAACTAATGCAACTGGCTGCCAGGTTATGCTTTGTAACAAATAGTTTGTGTGACACTGAGAAAATGTACAAACTCTCTGGGCCCTGGGTTCCTTCTCTGCCAAACATTGTACTCACTTCACTGTATTGTTTTGAGATTTAAATAAAATAAGCCATGTCAGGTGCTTAAATGTACAGTACCTACCAGGTCAAAGATGTTCAATAAATGTTAGATATTGTTACTATTCAAATTTGGTAAAACAACTATTTATCTCTAAATCTTTAGTAAGTTGGACAGAAAACGTGAACTTTAAAGAAATTAAGAATAAAAAAATCTTAAGTGATTTTTACTGTCTTCTAGAATATGTTTCTAAGAAATCCACGTAACTCCCAAGAATTTAGGAAAGGATGGTACGGAGAAAAACATACACCTGCTGCCCACTGTTGGTCTGATTTTAAATTTGTGGAGAGTCTGCTATGATTAGTTCTTCAAGGCAATGGTTTATTCCTAGAATAATAACGGGAATATTCTGATATTGCTCTGAAATAATACTGTACTGATAATACTTAAAAATAATACTGTTTTTTTAGATTACTCTGAAGTGATATTGCATTTAATAAACAGAATACCCCAGTTAAAAAATATTATTTAACTTACATGCATCACTGAGTTTCCGAACTGAACATGTGCTCTATTTTCTTGATACCTCTGGAAGAAGCATTTAGATTTGATCTGTTTGGAAGAAAATACATATTAATGAGAACAACGTTGAAATTAAACTTTGGTTGGCTTTGGAGTCAGGTACATAATTTTCAACTAATATAAAAAGGTACAATATGGTACGTGTATGAAAATGAAATGAACAAAGCCTTCTGGTTTTAAGTTGCTAATATGATGACTTTTCTTAATAGCTGTGCAAATGAAATACTCTTTTAAAAAGACATATGAGTATATACACACATACATACACACCAAACACACACTCTTAGGGATGACATGATTCTAATTTCTCTTGCCACCTGTAAGTTACAGCCAAATTAAATTAATACATAAGAGACTTGTTTTGTTCAGCTCCTGCAGTAACTACTTCTGTTTCTTGAAAGGCTTTTCTTTTTGCTGGCTTTCTTATCTGAAAAGGTTTACCCTGTTTTCGTGCAAGTGGTTGTCATGCTTTAGAAAAATCACAAGCAGCAAAAAGTCAGAATTGTCAGTTCAGAAGACACTGCTTGTTCCACTGGGTACAACGGAGCAAGCAATGCTGGCAAATGATCTTTAGAAAAAAAAACAAGGATGGGAACCACGGCAGAATGAAGATAAAAAGGGTTACTGGCTTTATTCTCACTGAAGGCTGGCAACAGGAATCTGCAGGAGGGAAGACGTCTATCAGATAGGTCATCTGTTGTGTAATGAAGAATAGAAGGCAGAGACAGGAGGAAGGAACAGGTGATGCTCGCTCTCAGAGGGGTAGGAGAGCCGGAGAGAAACAGGCAAGCACAACCCTCCTGAACTGCCCACCTTTAATTTACTACGAGACTCTGCTTGTTAGGCAGAGTCTGCGAGGAGAATGGTGGTCCATTTATAAGGTCATCGGTAAACCTGAAAATCTGCTTCTCATTTTTCTGTGGTCTGATTCATTATGAACTTCCTTCTTCTATCGGTACAGGACAGCCTATTAAAAATGACTAACCTGTCAAACATTTCCTACTCCTGAGATTTTATACTGCTTTCTTTACATCTTATTCTCTCTGTGTGTGTTGTGTGATCTTATGAGGAAGAAGCCAAATTATGGTAATAATTAGTAAGAGTTTGAACTGCATGCTTTTATTAAGAATTTCTGCCCCATCTTGCCTTGCTCAGAAATGCACTGTGTTCTGATTTTTAAAAATACCCAAAAGATATATTTTCCATGCAAGTTGATTTATGAATACCCAGTTTTAAACTATGATGGCATTGATGGCATTGATAACTTTCATTTTCTACAAGAAGGTTCAGTTTGGGACCAGCAGTTAGCATAATGGCTATGTTGCTAGACTCCCATGTAGTCAACCGTGGTTCGCATCCCAGACCTGGTAGCTTAAACTCACGCCGGGTGTGTGTGCGTGCGTGCGCCAGATGCCGAGAGGGGAATGGAGGAGAAGGGATTGTGGCATGGCCATCCCTCCTGGGGGGTGATTTCTTACTTTCTGTCTCTCTGTCTCTCTCTGTCTGTCTGGCGAGTGCACGCGCCCTATGGCAAAAACCTCTCAAAAAAACAAAAACCAAAACAAAAACAAACAAACAAAAACAAAAACAACAAAAAAAGAAGGTTCAGTTTGACATCTTTTTTTTTGCAAAATGCTGATTTGCTAAGTGCTGCTGGCAGGGCAGTTGGCTGGGGCTGCTTTGGGGCTGGGAGGAGCCTGGGGATGCCCCTAACACTTGCATGAGTCAAAAGAAAGGAAATGGAAATATAAAGTGAGTTTGGTCCTTCATTTTAGGGGAATTAGAGCCTTACTGTTCTACCTATTATAGAGGTTACAGGAGACACTGAAGAGGACTTTCAGTCAAATAGACTTGGACAAAATGTCCTCCAACAAGGAATTGTTCAATCACATCTTTTCAGAAACACGGCACAATTGAATGGGCTAGGCTGTGATTCCCAGGGGACTCTACCTGTTTCGGCCAGCCTGCTCAAATCGATAATGACCATTTGTGCTTAGTGAGAGAAGGTAAGAGTCATCCCTTTCTGTATTGACTGGCTGGGGTGTATACTATCCAGCGGGGGTGGTCAGGCATTTGGCATCCCCTCACCAGTCAGCTGGAGACCCATGTAGACAGTGCTAGGACACGGGTTTTGCCATTCATCAGTGGCTTCAGCCCTGTTGTGGCCCTGTGCTTTGTGCACACACATGCCTCATTCATCAAGTCTGCCCTCCCTCACAAATAATCTAATGGAGTATGATTCTTTCCTCTCTGCCTTCTGACATGCAGGCCTGGCCACGGGACCCAGCAGTAAATATCTATCTTAAACAAATTGCTGTCAGTGCTAACTCACCAGGGACATTTAAGAAGGAATTAGGAATTAAGAATTTGTGGCAATGGGTAATAAAAGATGGATTGGTCTATTCATGTGGCTCTGCAAATGTATACATTTAAATAGATGCAAAAGACTCAAATAAGACAGTAATTATGCTCCTGACTAGGTCATACCCAATTATCTGACAATTAATTTGCTAGTTGCTTTGTTAAAATGGTGTGTGCACATCTGTGTATATGTGTGTATCTATACTGCATAGTACCATGCATATACATATATATATATATATATATGTATAAAGAGACTTTAGAAAAGTTTAAGTAAAATGCATATTATAAAAAGTTATTCATGGATTTCAAATTTTTTGCACCAAAATAAATTTGTTTTAATTCCATTTTTCTATGAACTTTTTGAAGTACCCTCATGCATACACATGCACACATACTATTTTAGAATGAAGAAGTTAAAACAAATAAACTCTAACTGTATGTTTGTGTTTCAGGGCAATAGTTTGATTATCCAAAGGTTATGCTATGCAAAAGTGGCACATTAAATGCTTGCTTGTTAAATATGCAGGGTGGTAGCTTTGGTTTGAATAATTTAAAATTCAAATAGAAAAGTCTGTATGCCCACATTTTAGGATTTAATCTTTTTGGCAATCTAAGAGAAAAAAAGTTAACTAGGGCTAAATAGCTTGGCTATCCAGCTGTATGTATTTTATATGCTGTCGATACCCAGAAATAAGAAGATTATGATGTTTAAAATCAGGCTTACAGATGTATTTTCTACTTTTTAAGCCAGAAAACCCTCTAAATTGTTAGGCCTAAATTCTTTAATCTTCCTGCTTAAGCCAAAAGGTGAGCTCTAAAAAAAAAAAATCCGCTATTTTCAACCATAAAGAGGAGCTTAGTGATGCTTTAGGAAGTAATTGCTCAGCTCCACCGTTCATGTTGGAGAAACAAAACTGAGTCGTAGATGTTGGGGCTGGCGCAGAAAAGGTCTGTCTTGAATGCATTTCCTGAATGAATCTGGGATCCTGTGCAGACACTAACCGTGGGTCTGGTTTATGTCAGAGGGAGTACATGAGAAATCAAGGCTGGTGAGCTCACTTCTACCCACAGGGGTAAAACTGGGGTGAGTATAGAGCTGCTTTGGCCTCAACTCTTCCTGTAGCTGCCCTGAGTCTTTGCCAGGTATGGGAAGTGCCAGGATTCCCCACCTCACACTGTTTCTTGGCCCCTACTAGGCAATGTCCTGGGTTCCTGAGCCTCCTCTTGGATCTAGTCCATCTCTTACATATGCTGGGTATGAGGAGCTGATAGACCTAGTCCAAAGTATCTGTGACAACAGCTTTCCTTGTTACTTTATTTGCAACTTAACAGAAGCTTTTGATGTTCCACCGGATGGGTTGAAGAAATGTGGGAATTTCAGTCCCTGGTCAGTGAATGTGGACTGGGAGAAAGGGGTGTCACATGCAGTCTGGGGGCTGCTGTTCTTCATAAGTCTCCCGTGAGGAAGTCATCTTCCCTCAGAGCAGCTCCCTTTCTGGGCTAAGAGTGGTGCGGCCCATCCCATCCCAGGTGAAGCAAGGAAGGAGGGTGCCTTCCCAAGGCCTGGCCCTGGACTCCTCAGTGTCCCTTCAGGAGTCTTAGGGGTTTTGTCCATATAGTGGGCCTTGCAGATACAAGGGCAGCCACTGCACACCGTTGATGTCCTGTCACTGTCACTCTGTGGAACACTGAAGCACTCCATTCTTGGTCTCTGCCATCCAAAGATTCAGGAAAACTAGACTACGCACTGGACATTTTAATTGGCAAATGTTCAGTTTATCTTTTGTGAGACTTTATCATGACCCATTAAAGTGCTCTTCCTAAGAGGAATCTTTTCTGGGAAACAGGAATGAGTGAATAAAATGACAGGGTCTCTGCCTTACTGCCTTAATCTGAGAACTCAGCCTTGGTCTCAAGGACACACTTTCCATGAGGAGTCTGTTGGTGACAGAGACAGAGATATAGGCTCGTTTTTCAGTTGTTGAGTTTTACTATGGGGTGCATGACTCATGGGGAGGGAGAGAGAGAGAGAGATCACACCTAGGGAGGATGACCACACCATAATCCCTTTTCTAATTTCCTCTCAGAATTTTGGCCATGCTCACACATGCATCCTGTACGTTTTTCAAGCCCCCTGGAGCCGAACTTGAATGGCACAGTGGCCATATGGGATCTGGCTGCCTTAATCACCATGCTGTGGACTCGTCTAAAGAACTTTTAATTCTCTCCTTTTGATATCTCACTTGCCAAAAAAGTTGGTTGCTTTAGCAAGTCCTTGGGAGAAATTTCCCTTCTATTGTATGGAAGAGCTTGTTTTTCTCCCTGTGGCTTCTGTGACGTCAGGTCACCCTTACCGTGACCACCCCCTCAGACCTCAACCCATCATCTCTCACCTCAGCTTTCCTTTCCTCCGTGGTGACTTCAAACTCTTTTACCAGCTAGTCCCTGCCAGCATTTAAATATGCTTCTGCTTATTTAACACACACATACACTCTTCCTCCTTCCTCCAGCACTCTGGCTCTGCATGCTTCTGGTTTCCTTCCTCCTCTTTTGCTCTTCTCAAGCCTCTTGGCTGGCTCCCTTCCAACATTCTCTTTTTCAGAGTTAAGCTCAGGACTTGTCCTTTGGCTCCCTTCTGTTCCCACTTAATACACACTCCTGGGAAATGCTATTCCCTCTTGGGTCTGATATTTCAATCCATGTCTCTAGGCCAGACCTCTCTTCTGAGTGCCAGATTGGCACCTATGGACCATCAACTCCATTGAAAGTGTGTTGGGCACCAAATCTCACAGCATGGGCAAAGTTCTTGTCCTCACACACTGTCTCAGTCAACTTGGACTGCCATAAAATGAAATACCATAGGCTGGGTGGCTTAAGCAACAGACATCTTATTTCTTATACTTCTGGAGGATGGAAAGTCAAAGACCAAGGTGTCAGCTGATTCGGTTCCTGGTGAAGACTCACTTCCTGGTTTGTCAATGGCTGTCTTCTTGCTGCATCCTCTCATGGCAGGGAGATAAAAAGGAAGGGAGAGAGAGAGAGAGAGAGAGAGAGAGACATCTTTGATGTCTCTTCTTTGATGTCTCTTCTCAGAAGGGCACTAACCCCATTGTGAGAGCCCTACCTTTGTGACATCATCTAACCCTAATTGCCTCCCAAAGGTCTGTCCCCAAATACCATACCATTGGGAAGTAGGACTTTAGCATACGGACTTTGGAAGGGATACAAATATTTAGTTCATCACACTCATCCTCACAGAAAACTAAAATGATAGTAATGATGACAACAATAAAGATAACAACAGCAGCTAGAATTCTGCAGTCACCTGGTCCCACCTTCGGTGCTGCCTAGTTGTCCAAGGCATGGGCTTTGGGGTCCTTTGACCTTCTTTTTTCCCCCTCTCCTGTGCCCCATACATAGCCAATCAAAAAGTCTTTCCAGTTCACATGGAAGAGTCTCCTCCATCTACTCTGCTACCACCCCAACCCCAGACGTAGCCATCTTTTTCCCAAAGTCCTAAGCCCCTTCTGCTAACTTCCATGCTGTCTACCCAGTCCTGTCCCCACAGTGCAGTCGGAAGGGCAGAGGTGGTAACACCGGTCACCCGCTGTAAGTGCTTCAGTGGCATCTCTATGTCCTTGCATTATGTACAAACTATAGGAATGGCCTCTGAGATCTCACTGGCTGACTCTCTTTTCTCCTTGCCTTTCCAGTCTCCTCTCTCTTCCTTCCCTGAAGGCTATTGCACTGGATATACTTTTTCTGGGTGCTTTTGAGCCTTTTCCCCACCTTTGCCGGTTGAAGATAATCTTGAGGTCTCAAAGCTACCTCATCTTACCTGGGAATCTCTCTAGTATCCCTCTAGCCTGGGTGCGCTTGTAGTGAGCATCCTTGGGGCCCTGACCATCCTTGGATCTGACCTGGCTATACTATATATAGTTTTTGCTTTGCTCTTCCCACTGCTCACTTCCTCACCGATCTTCCCTGGCTATCTTTGTAATCCTGTGACCAGCAGTGCCCAGCATACCTGGTGCTCAGCAGTGACCATTCAATGAATAAGCACAGTTCTGATCAGAATTCATTTCTAATCTAAACGCTCTGAATTGACTGGGAAACATGTTTTTATTGCAGAGCTTTTCTTGGCAAACTTTTTTTGTGTCTTAAAGAACATTACTTTTTTGATATGTATTTTGTCTTTCCTCGTGATAGAACGTGTGCACACACCCATGAGAGGGAAAGAGAGATAGACACACAGAGAATGAGGAGCATCCTTCACAGGGTCTAGTCACATGGAATCCCTTCCTCCAGTTCTCCAGCCTGCCAGATCCTGGGCACTGTGGCTGTGGCATTGTGACGGGCTGCTCATGTTTCTTTGGGAAACATAAATGTGCCTTGTGCCTTGTATTTCACCATATTTACATTTTGAAAGCTTGCTAGAATCTTTTTATGGACAATTGTATCTAACAAGTATGCAATGCCATATTTTTTAGGCTATACATATATTTTCCCACTGAATTCTTGCAGCTCAAGAAGTTATAGCTGAGTCAGTAGAAGGTCAGAGAGCCTAGAAATATCTAGGTAGTGTTTACACAGCTATATGCATGTCTCTTGTGTCCTAGACTGCCTGGGTCGGGGACTCAAAAGGCAGTTGCCACGTGGGATCTGGCTTCTCTTGAGCAGCATGTTACCCTTGCATCATGGAGCTGGAGCTGGTCTTAGAACATATTCTTTAAGTGATCAGACATGTCTGATAAAATCAGTTATTTTTGAAAATAAATTTAAAAATGAAAACTGAATTAATGGAGAAAAAGGAAAATTGGGCAATTTAGCTTGCTGGTTCATATTGCTATTCATGATCAGAAATCCAGATCCCACAGGGCCAGCTCCGGTGTGAATGGTCTCCTCACTGGGAGGGAGCACCTTGCCCTCTGACCTTTCTGAAGAGCGTGGAGGTGGTAAGCCTCTCTCCCTTCGTCAGCCTTAGTTTACCTTGTCTATAAAAATGGGGGCAGAGAGATAGATCATCTCCAAGGGAGTGAGTGGTTGAAATGATGTTCAAATCCAGGTGTGGCTGATCAGGCTTCTTTGTCACTCCTATAGCTCTTCAGGCTCACTCTCAAGGCTGATTTTTGAAAGGATACACTCCATTTTTCACGTTTGTAGTGTTTGTGGGAGGGAGCACCTTGCCCTCTGACCTTTCTGAAGAGCGTGGAGGTGGTAAGCCTCTCTCCCTTCGTCAGCCTTAGTTTACCTTGTCTATAAAAATGGGGGCAGAGAGATAGATCATCTCCAAGGGAGTAAGTGGTTGAAATGATGTTTGTGGATGCAGCATCCATGTTTGGAGTAGGCCCAGTGCTAGAGACTAAAGATAGGGAGATAAAGATTGTTCTAGATTTTCAAGGAGCTCAGGACGTGAAGGGGAAGCAGGCAGGCAGGGGAGATGAGATAATTTGCAGCTCAGTGAGGTGAGAGACGGCAGGAGCAACATTAGGGTTTGGTGAGGACAGAGGTCAGAGAAGTCTCAATCTGGACATCAGGAAAGGCTTTTTGGAGGAGGGAAAGATGAGTAGATGTTGATGAGCTGGACTGGAAAGAGGGCGTGGGGCCCTGGGGTAGGAGAGACTGGGGTGCCAAGGCTGTCAGGTGGGGTGGTGTCAGGGTGGGGGAAATGTGGGACAATGCTTTATAGACACATCCTTTTCTTTTCTTTTTAAATTTTCCAGAGGGCACATATGCTTGCTGAAGAGAGAGAGAGAGAGAGAGAGAGAGAGAGAGAGAGAGAGAGAGAAAGCATCACACCACAATCCCTTCTCCTCCATTTCTCTCTCCCTTTCTGGATTTTGGGCATGTAAGCACATGGGCAAGCTGCTAGTTCCAGAACTCAAACTGTGCTGTCAGCCAAAAAGTATCCAGCTGCCTTAGCCACCATGCCATGGCCTGGCCTGACCGTATTCTTTTAGGATCCCCAGTGCTGGGGTGAGAGCCAGTCTCTGCTAACTCATCCTTTCTTCCCTGGCAATGAGTGATCCTTGAGCTCACTGGCCCTATGTGTGAAGTCACTCCTGAGTTGATGTCTCCCTTAGGCAGGGAGGCGATTCTCTATGACACAGGGATTGTAAACCTCTGTGCATATCAGAATTAACTGGGCAGCTTTTTCAAAATAGAGTCCTCAGCATCCTCTCTATAGCTTCTGGCTCAGGGGGCCTTTGGTGGGGCTTGAGAGCCTACTAGTTAATCGCTTTGTGAGGAGCTGGTGGTACTGGTAGTCCATGGGACTTAGCTCAGAGGTGCTGCTGATGGGTTATGGTTCATGGTACCAGCGTGATGCTGGGCCACCCCTCTGCCTTGCTGGGTTGTTGTACTTCATCTACCCCAGTGGAAATGGATCCTATTTTTTTAAAATCACTTTTTAAAAGCTATTTATTTCTTGAGAGAGAGAAAGAGAAGGAGAATGAGATAGATACATTCCAGCTAGATTACGGGCTGTGCCTGGCATACTCAGGGGGGTCCTGGGACAAGAATGCAGGGTCTTTTCCTTGTAGGTCCAGTTGCATTACTGCTGCACCACTGCCTGGCCTCAGAAGTGAATCCTTTTTTTTTTTAAGAGAGATTTTTGCTATAGGGTGTGTGCACTTGCTGGAGAGACAAAGAGACAAAAAGTGAGAAATCATCCCTCAGGGGGAATGGCCATGTCACAATCCCTTCTCCTCCCTTCTCTTGGGATCTTGGGTGCACACCCACATGTGCCTAGCAAGTTTTAAATTGCCAGGTTCAGGACTTGAACCACAGTTGACTACGTGGGAGTCCAGCAACATAACCATTACACCATCTGCTGGCCCCTGGATCTTATTTTTAACTAGATCCCTGTAGTTTTTGAAAGCACCCTCCCCTTTTTTACCACTTGGGAGGAATAATACTATTTAAATATGTGTTACAGGATAATGATATAATATTAATAAATTTATGTGTTAATATTTTTTCTTGTATGTAACTTAAATAATATTATGAATAATAAGATTTCTTGCCCAGGGTAAGGGGGGATGTCTGGGGAGCTGGAGAAAGCTGACTTTTCATTCACTTGTCATAGGAATGGAGTCTGCAAAGGGTGAGTTAAGGGAGGGTGGGAACCTGAGGGGAAAAGCCTGTGTTTGGGCTTGAGGCAGAGAAGAGGCCCCATCCAGGGTGAGAGAAGGAGGCCAGAACCCCAGAGGCCCATTTATGCTGGTGCTGTCCCTACTGCTGGGTCTAAGGTGGCTGGGACTGCACTGTGCTTCAGCTGTTTTCCCTGAGCAGGTCACTAACAAGGCTCACACTCTGTCCTCTTCCCCCACTACTGTGTGGGCAAGCTGCAGCCCTGGGATAGGGGGCTTCTGAAGCCAGTTCTCCTCTCTCTCACCTGCCAAGGGAACCAGTCTGGGGTCTTTCTCCAGTGCCCAGAGCCACAGAGCAGAGCCCTCACCACCCCATTTTTGGAAGGCATTGCTAGTTTCTCTGCAGTGACCTAGTATGGCTTGCTCACAAGCACCTCTTGGTGAATGCCCACACCTTTGGTTCGGCTCCTCTGCACCCCATTAGGCCCGGGTGACAGGCACATCTGCACTCAGCATGCCTTCCTGCAGACCACTGAGTCATTAGCAGAGATGAGATGAGTCCCAGATGTTAGAAGAACATGGCAGTGCTTCGTGGACCACCACTGGGACAAATAAACACGGCGTAAGTATGCAATTTGATTGGATAACAGAAGTTTGGCAAGTTGGTACGGTCATGAAAATAGAGACTGGTGACATTTAAAGGGGAAGGGTGGCAGGAGGAAGAGAGGGAGTATGTTTTTATCCAAAGTATGACAAGAAGGAGTGCTGACTTCTTAAAGGAAGGGAGTTGGAAATATTCCAGTTGCCTTGAAGGGGGATGATTTATTCTCATTGCAGAACCCATTTGGACAGTAGGAACGAAACCTCTGGCCTCTGAAATGCCAGATTTGGTGCACCTCTGGCCTTGCCTTTTGGAGTAGGGGTAAAAGGATGGGCTTTCCAGTCAGAGGTGACCTTGGACAGGGTACATACTTC